GCGCACAGAGAGAGGAGGCATCGGGAGAGTGGCCGTGAGGATGGAGAGGGAGGGGTTGAGTCAATGACGCGTGGGCCCCACATGTCATTGAGATGGTCAAAACCGCTTCACATCGGACAAAACAGCCTCATCCGCGCCCAGGTGCTAAAAGTGAACGGTTTTGACAGTTAGGTACTAGTATTAGACGGTTTTGTAGTTGATGGTCAAAATTAGATGAACCCCATAGTTGAGAGGCCAAAAGTGGACTTAATCCTTTTTTTAACACACTCTCTATCGGGTTCACAAACCCGGGGTCCCTCGGGTACCGGCTTCGATGCCAGGGCTCGGCCCAAGAAAACGGCATGTTGTTCATAGGCCGGCCCGAAGGTCTGAGAATACGACGGGCCGGAAGGATAGTCCGGTCGCCGACCGGAAGGTCTACCCGTAAGAACGAACGCCCGCTCATCAACCTCTTAGGCCCACCTCCGACCGGAGCGCTCGCCTCGGGCACCAGCCGCCTGCAAGCAGTCTCTCCGATCAGAAGGCCCGGCCCAAAACGTTGCTTCCTACTCCGATCCCGCGACTCCGACCGGGGACCCGTAGGAAGCCTACTTACCGCTCTTCTCCGACTGGCGCGGCCAGGACCGACTAGAGCCATCCGACCGGGGACGCCCGCTCGGAAGGGACCAGGGGCGAACGGAAAAGGCAGTGCACAAAGTCAAACCACGATACCGGGACCATACCCTGTACGCCTGCAGGAATAGTGCTCCTCAACCGCCCTGACACAAATAGTATTGTAGGCGCCGACATTTGTGTCTACAGTATTGTAGGCGCCACTGGACTCCCATACGGCAAAAAGGTCCCCCTACCTCTGGGCATCGGCAGTGGGCGCCAGGGTTTACCATACCTGGTACACGTGGTGGGCTCCTCACATACCAATAGTATTTTGCAGGTACCGACGTCCACCCTTCCTGAAGAAGCCAACGCAACCTTCCATGTGCCCCAGATATTCCACAGTAACGTCAACAGTTTTGTGGGCGCCTACCATCGGCTGTCTTCATCAGTGTGGGCAACAAGGCTTGGTAACATCCGTGCTCTCCCCCTCTCATATGTAAAGCCATCCCCTTCATCTATAAAAGGGGATGCACTCCCTCCAACAAAGGGGATCGACTCTCCAGAGGTCGACTTCCCTAAGTTAAGATTCACTAGATCGACAGCTCGCAACCTCCAAGCACACGCTTGAACACCTAGTTTGTAACGGAGTTCCGGTCTCCCTCGGCCCTTCCGGTCGGATCCGACTGGACCTCTCGTACACGCCTCATTTCTCCTTCTCGTTTGTAACCCTACTACAGACTTCGAGCACCTGGGCTCAGGAATAAAGTCACCGACCGACCCAGACTGGACGTATGGCACGTTACCTGAACCAGTATATATCATGTGTCATTGAGTGCTAGGCCACCTCCGATCACAACGTACAGCAAAACTATAAATATTCACTGGTTGGTCACTTTCTGTACCGACACTCTCTAAATCTCATCAGGAGAGACATTATAATAAAAATCACATTCTATATCCCTTTACTGGTTCAAATTTTTTTCTATATCTTATTCGACACTCCTGCTTTCTTAGATGAGCGAGAAACTAGTAATAGGGATGAAAAGTTTCTTATATACCTAGAATAATCACCACTTGGTATTTAAATAAAAGAATACCCATCTTAGTTTTTATATTAAAGAAATATTTAGCAGCTCCGTGGAATACTAGCACTCAATCTACGCAGGCCTCGGTGACACTCCTTTTTTTTTTTAACTCAGAGCACTTTATAAACCAGCTGCTCCAGACAAATCGCCGGAGACAAGATCGTTTACAAAGGTTGGTGCCTGGCACCAGAACACTTGCCCACCCTCAGGAAAGGCAGCTACACCATGCCTGGCCATACAATCAGCCACCCTGTTACATACTCTCCGACAGATTGAGATAGAACAAGAAACGAAGTTCCTAACCATTGCTGCTCGAATTTGTCTGAACAGAGCCCCCTCCGGACCACAATCCAACTCTGTTGTTGTCAATGCCTTCCCCAAGTTTGAGGCATCAGTCTCCAAGCTTAATCTGGTCATTCCCAGCTGTGCAGCTCTCTCTAAACCAGGCCAGGCTGCCAAAGCTTCAGCGTGCTGACACTCGATTTCTTCGACAAAGACAATTTGAGGTACACACGATTCGCAGCGGCAAAAGCAAAAGGTTCCTCACATCGCGTCGAAGCGGCGCAGTAGACAATTGGTACCGGCAGGCGCCGCAAACGAAACTACGAAAAGCACCGGAGCGGGAGTGCCGGACAAGACGCCGTGGCTCCTTGGGACCTTCGGTTCATCATCCCACGGCCATCCCACCTGTCCACCTGAAGTTGTCCGATTGTTGTCTCCACTCTACAGCCCCCAGGTGTCGAGGCCACGGCGGCGCCAACAACAGCCGGCACGAAAAGGCGTGACACGAGACGAGACGAACGAGCGGAGTTCAAGCGCGCGCGTCCGATCCGGCGAATAGAGGCCAGTTGCTCCGGCCGGGCAGCATTCGATCTGAGAGCGCTGGACCACCGCGCGCTCCATGACAGACAGCGTACGCGTGCAGTCGTGCTGGCTGGACGCCATGGGCAGCCTGGACCTGGGACCTGGAGGTTAATGCTACGCTTGATCACCCGTTGGAAGAGACAACAGCTGTTTATAACCAGACAAGACTTTCATATCAGTTACAGAGACAGCAGCTGCTTGAGGTCGTACCATCGCCGTCAGAAGAACGCAGCAGCTGCTTGAGGTCGTACCATGACGGCGCCGGCGGCTTGAACTTCTTCTCGTCGAACTCCTGCACTGCACCTTGATGCTTCCCTCGCGGAACGTGAGCTCGCCCAGCACCTCGTGCCGCTCCGGCGAGGCGATGTCCATGACGGCAATCTCCAGCGGCTCGTCCAACGGCCACGCCTGCGACCGGAGCGGCCACGCCGTCGACGCCTACTGCGTCGCCGAGTATGGGCAGCGGCTGGGCTTGGGTTGGACGGAAAGGGCTGGGGACCAGTTCAGATCCAAAACAAAATTAATTTTAATTAATTATCTCGGTGCTTTAAGACTCGTGCATTTTTTTTAAAGAGACCACCGGAGCAAAACTTAAGTTATTATTGTATAAATTCCTGGAAGTAATCTAGGTAATACTCTCTCCAATTCAATTATAAATCGTCCTGGTTTTTTAATAATAAAAGGTATGTACTCCCTATATAGACATAGTGTTATTTATATGCATAACAAAAAATTATGGGTTAATGCTTCTTCAGAGTAGATTCTATGATCCAAGTGCCAAAACACCTAAAATACAACTAGATTTTGGTGGAAAGCTGTCGAGAATCACTTTTTCATTTATGGTACGAGCTAAAAGCTATAAAATCCACTCTCCATATCTCCGCATTCAATCGCCATTAAAATCACTTTAGAATCAATTCTCACATGCTCCCACTTGCTCGCCCACCAGAATCACTCCATCGAAAAGTTAAGAAGTAAAGCTAAAAAATTTGGAGGGATGTTGTGCCAAACTGGCCCTACAAATCTAGAAAAAGCTAGAACGACTTTATAATTTAGAACTAGGAGAGTAAACATTTAACTGTTGAATGACACGTGCTAATAGATAACACCTTTACAATGAAAAACTTGTTGTCTCGAGCTTCTGAGACCGTTTGTTAATTATTCCCTAGACAATGTCTTTCTCAATATCCTCATCTCTCCCTTTCATATTAGGCAAAATCATGCATGACACCTATCCTTGACGGTCGATGTCACATCATTTAACACGCGCTACTCCCCTATCCAAAAAAAAAACACGTGCTAATCCACGAGTGACGTGTCCTTTCGTAGCCCTTGTTCGGTTGTGCTTTGGAGTCCCAGGCATGGGCGGATCCAAGGGTATTCCTCAGTATTTCTGGGAATACTCAACTATTTTGGTACACTTTTATGTATATATGTATGTATACTTATATATATATATATGTATAATGCAATATTCTATAATACTTTTGCTCATTCTAGTCCAAAACAGCTGAAAAAACGGCCTTTCAGCCTGGCTTCCGCAGTCTCACTCTCATAGGCCAGCCCACTAGGCCCAATTAGGCACTCTACCCTGGCTTCCGTAGTCTCCACTGACCACTCTCCACTTGTCAAGGCTCCATATTGTTCACCTTTTTATTTATGCAGCTGTAATTTTCAACCAAAACTATAGATTCTAGAAAGCATTATTTTAATGTAGAAGTAGAAATACCCACGTTTAAAATCCTGACTCCGCCAGTGCTACCAGGTATAGACATGGCCAGGATTAGCAGGTACTGTAATCACTGTACTTACCCAAGGGGAACAGTAACGCTACGAGCACGTAAATGATTGTGAATTATTTACTACTGACGGATTTAATGTAAGAGAAAAATAATATTCCAAATTATAATCCACGGTCGCGGGCGAAAAAGCTTGCACTTCATCGTGGCAGTCTCTGCGCATCCCATGTACTGTACTCCAATCCAAGCAATGGCCAAGCAAACCCAGGTCTAGTTTAGATTGGGGTTAGAAATCCGTTTGTATTTGATAATTATTGTCCAATTATGGCCTAACTAGACTTAAAAGATTCGTCTCGTAATTTACAATCAAACTGTGTAATTAATTATTTTTTTATCTACATTTAATACTCTATGCATATATCTAAAGATTTGATGTGATGAAAAAAAGTGAAAAAACTTTAATCTAAACAAGAGCCCGAGAACAAGAAAACTCAGAAATGAGGAATTTTGAATAATAAATCCCAATAGTAAATCCTCGGCCCCTCCACTGCTGCACCTGATCCTCTCCCTCGTTCCGCCGTCGAACTCCAAACCCCATCGCGCACATCGCCGGTCAAAGCAAAACACTGAAACCTCGATTCCAAATCGAAGCCTGAGTCCGGACTCCGGAGGCTTCGTTTCAAATGCGCGAGGCGCGTACCGCCGCCGCACGCCACCGATGACCCTCGACGCGACGGAAGCCGGCGGCGGCGGGGACCTCTTCGCCGCTAACCTCAAGGGCTCGCTCCTCGCCGTCGCCTCCTCGGCGTTCATCGGCGTTAGCTTCATCGTCAAGAAGAAGGGCCTCCGACGCGCGGGTGCCGCCGGCGCCCGAGCAGGTATCTGCTCCTCTCCCTGTCCTCGCTTCCCGAAGCTGCTGCTGTCTTGCTCGTGCTGCTCGTCGCGACACTAGGTCTTTCTGGTTCTTGGTTGCTAATTCGAACCCTACATGCCGCGAGATGCGACAAAGGCCTCCCCTTTATGGCCATTCCGGTCGATTTCATGTAACAGACGACATAACCTTCCTTGATTTGTCCAAAATTTCAGGTGCCGGAGGTTATGGCTATCTCTTGGAGCCACTTTGGTGGGTCGGGATGGTCACCAGTAAGCATCAACGATCCCCTTAACCTCCTTTTTTTTTTCTTAATTATGCCAAAATTGTGCTGAAATTTTATCAAAAATGGAATTTTGCAGTGCTTGTTGGTGAGATCGCAAATTTCATTGCTTACATGTTTGCGCCAGCGGTCCTCGTGACACCGCTGGGTGCACTCAGCATTATTGTGAGGTATAGTGGCGGATGCCTCAGGTGGTTTGTTCTGAATGTCTTTGTATGTTTCTGATGAGTTTTGTTATGTGTAGTGCTGTTCTAGCTCATTTCACACTGAACGAGAAGTTGCATCGGGTGGGCGTGCTGGGCTGTGGTCTCTGCATTGTTGGGTCAACGATGATCATTCTACATGCTCCCCAGGAGAGGACCCCTAGTTCCGTGGAACAGATTTGGAACTTGGCAACACAGCCTTGTAAGCTTCTATGTCTTGTTTCTGGAGCTTAGCTAGTTGCCATCACAGTGGACTCATGTTTTGATATTGTCCTGTAATTTTGGCAGCCTTCCTTTGCTATGCTGCCATTGCAGTGGGAGTGTCCCTGTTCCTCATGCTATACTGTGCTCCACGCTATGGACAGACAAACATAATTGTTTATGTTGCCATTTGTTCAGTTGTTGGATCCCTGACGGTAAAAACATGCCTTATTTTCTTCCCATCTTGACATCTGTGTTGTCTTGTTTGTAACATGAATTTTGTTTGATGTTGTGGTATTATCAGGTAATGAGCATAAAGGCCGTGGGCATTGCCATTAAGCTAACAATCGAAGGAATAAATCAGGCCGGCTATTTCCAGACGTGGGTGTTTGCAGTGGTTTCCACAACATGTATTGTTATTCAATTAGTTTACCTGAATAAGGTGCACTTCTTGTCTCATCAGTTACATGAAAAGGAAGCCTGTTTCACTTCAATTTTTCACAAAGCGGTGCATGCATAACAGATATATAAATTATATGCCATTTAAAAACCATGCCATAGTTTTTGTAAAAGAAAATTGTCTCAGAGGTGCCATATTCACATCCACATTGGCTAATTTTTTTGTAATGCCACTGGAGTGATTGTGCAGTACCCAATTTCAATTAGTGATATTCCAGTACTTAATTCCAATGCATGTGTACCTTTGTTAAAAGATATTTACCGATGTTACTTTTTAACTAGGAAGTATGAACTGATATTACTATATGTGTTAAATTCAGGCACTGGATACTTTCAATACAGCAGTTGTCTCTCCCATCTACTATGCCATGTTCACGACCCTCACCATCTTAGCAAGTGCCATAATGTTTAGGGTGAGAATAGTTTCCACAACCTTTAGTATACACAAAACATCAGTAGCGCTGTGTTAATTTGGTAGTAAACCTTTTCTGGTGACCATACAGGACTGGTCTGGGCAGAGAGCAAGCAACATCGCCTCTGAGATTTGTGGATTTCTTACGGTTCTTGCTGGCACTGTTGTGCTACATTCCACTAGAGAACCTGATCAAACTGTATCAGCAGGTAGATCTTTGTTCAGTTTGGTAGAACGTGGTAGAGCAAGTATATTCTCCAAATTATTCTCATTATCTTTTCTGTTTATTACCGCAGACCTGTATGCACCACTCCCACCAAAAATATACTGGCATATCCAAGGGAACGGCGATATTGGGAAGGAAAGAGAGGATGACTCCCTTACATGCGAATTCATCACTGTTGTGCGGCAAGACTACTTTGTGTAGGGACCTTCCAGCATGCTTGGTGTTACATGTGTTCTTTCTGAGACCCTCTGCTGCAGTTGTAGACAGAATCTGGTGCGCACCCATCGACACCAGGTCGAAGCAATTCCAAAATTTTGTAGAAATTGTGACCAGAACACTGTTTCCGAGCCAGTGCCCACAATATTTGCTTCTGAACAACCTAGCTTTCTAGTCTGACAACGCCTTGTAAGATATTGTAGGAAATGTTTTTCTGCCCCCATCCGTTGGTGTATTAGAGGTCTGTTTTGTTTAATCCGTTGGTGTATTAGAGGTCTGTATATGTGCTTTCTGGCATTGTGTGTGTATGTAAAACCCGTAGCTCAGTGTGGTTTTGAAATCAAGCAAGCTGCTTGCCTTGATTATGTTTATTGTAAGATCTTTGAAGCACAACTCCCATCAGATTTTCTATCCTCTCCCCTATCCTTAGAGCATCTCCACGAGTACCCTATTTTCCTTCCTAATCGTCGGTATTTAGCAAGATGAGAAAAAAATCCCTCTCCAACAACTACTAATCCATGCTCCTAAAATTTAGGCACTTGGGAAATCCTTCCCCATCATATATAACTTTGCACGTAGTTAAAGTCGTGTGGATACTACTTTATCATGCGTATTGGTCGGTTAATCTAAAGGTGGAAGAGAATATAGTAGAAATATAAAGGTGGAAGAGAATATAGTAGAAATATAGGAGATAGAGGTGATCCAACATATCTCCTATCCCGTTGCTGGCCTTACTAGCTTGTGTGTGTGTGCTCCGGTGCTCCCCCAACATCTAGCTAAAAACATTATTTGCCTAAACGGTCGTTTATCTCATCTACACACCGTTTAAACGTTGCATAGTGGTACTACATTCTTGTTTAATCGATCATTTATCACGTTTAAATGATGGTTTAGCAACACTGGCTAAAAATGGCTTCGGCTTCATTGTTTTCAGCTTATTTTTGGCTTCAGAAACAGTTCTTGTGTGCACCTGTTTAATAAAACTTTTGATTAAACCGCTAAAGAAACACTAACAAAAGCCGAGAAATTTAGTGACGGGTCACAAATGGCCATCACTTATTCGCATCACTAGTGGCTGATTTTCACGGAAAAGTAGGCATATACAGCACGTTCACTAATGTCTTTCACACAAAGATATAGAATAGGATACGTACTCGTAGTTCACAACTATCTAACAGAGTTACAGAACTCATGTGCGGCTAGTCACGGACTGCTGAACCTTATGCTTTATACACAAGCAATAAACTCCTGATAAATCAATTCTCGCTTAGATCTTTACTCCACGCCTATGATCGATTTCAAGAACCGGAGTTTTGTGTTGAGATCATTCAGATCGGATGCATCCCTTGAGCTGACAGGGGGTTCCACGCCCACGAATATATACAGCCCCACGAGCTCGGCTTCCAGAGTCAAAGATGGTGCGGGGCGGTACCCTGTTATTGTTCTTAGTGTATCAAGCTGCTCCCTTAACTGTTCCTCCGTATAGTTGTCCTGGTGGAAATAAGTGAATTATGTATTAGCTCCGTATAGTGTATCAACCTGGTGCCTTTTATGACATTAATTCATTATATCAATAATTCCATAAAAAAATTATCAATAAGCAAGAACATGTTTAGGCTGCACTTAGTAATTGTGCATAGAACAGCATTATACATAATACCTGTTAATAGGAAAATCCAGAGTTGGTTCAAATTATAAGTGAACAAATGAAATAAAACAGATACGCCATAACTCACCATGTCCTCAGCTACAGTATTCCTGGTGTGGGTTGTCAAAAACCGGCGTACCCTCGACACTTGAGGCGCTATCACGGGCTGAGGCATGTGGTGTGCTCCTACTCGAAATTAGATCCTCACCATCATCCACGGTTACCTCCAGAACTCCTGAGACAAAACTACCTCTGTCACTGTGGTGCTCAACAGCCTCTGTTGTTCTGTCACTAAAATCATTTTTTATGTCTTCCATTACAGTACTTCCTCGGATCTCGTCAACAACTGCAGCTTCGCTCACGGCCTGTAACTCTTGAGCCACATGGTCACTCACTGACGGCCATTCAATTTCACTAGCAATAATGTTCAATTGCACAGCAACTACCTCCCGTGTAACATGATCCTCAGCATTACTTGTCACTTCTTCCAGCACCATCTCCACAGTTACTTCATCTTCTATCTTGGTCTTATCGTCTGGCACTGGTGATTTAGAAACATGAGTGATCTGTGGTGACATGCTCCTTGTAGGCACCTTGTCATCCATGGTTTTGTTCTCCTCTGTTTTCACATGCTACCAAATTTCACAAACAAAATTCAGATGGGCATCTTTATGGATGTAAATTATTTAAACAATTTTACAACTTGGTAAGCACATCTTATTTAGCATATGAAATCGATTCTAACCAAATTTATTAGGTTACAGTGGCCTATACCAATAAACAATGACAAATAAGAAAATTTATCATGCCTAGAACGCACCTGATATTTTGTATCCATAGACATGTATAGACATTTTTGATAAAAAGAAACCAGGTGATATTGATGATTTAGTAAACCAGGAACTGACTCACCTTGTCCTCTGTTGCCTCTTTCTCCTGAAATTCATTGTTCCTTAGTGTGTAGCCAGTTGTTTGATTGGAGTGGTCAGCATCTGGCCTACTCTTGACACTCGTCATGTCATCACTGATGGCTGAGACTGCTGGGCTCCTACTGGAAACTAGCTCTGCAACATCATCCACGGTCACCACCGAGACAACACTAGAAGCACCTGCCTCACCATAGTGCACCATGCCCTCTGTACTAGTATCACCAATACCCAATATAACGTCTTCTGTTAAACCAGCATTGATAACATCATCAACATTTGCAACTTCCGCTATCGCCTGTAACTCCTGAGCCACAAGGTTGCTGGCTTGCAGCGACTCGCTTTCAGGTAGGGCAGTAGCAATGGAATCCACATGTTCACCAGCCACCTCCCCTGTAAAAGGATCGGTGTTAATGAACACTTCTTTCACCACCATCTCCACTGTTACACCACCTTCTATCTTCCTCTCCAGCATCGTATCATCCACAACCGATGATTCAGAAACATTAGCCTCCTGCAGTGGTATCTCTTCTTTGGTTTCGTGGCCCTCTATTTTATCCTCAATATCTGTCAAATGAGAATCTTGGCCTGATTTTGGGACAGAAATTTTTTCACCATCTCCTCTCTGAACCACAATACCCTCATTGCCCAATACTGGCACCGAGAAGTCACCTAATTCTGTGAATCTGTGATGTCGACGCCCAGTGACAGAATCTCCTTCAAGGACTCCATTTCCTCTATATCTTTACACTTGCCATCCTCTGTTCTTTCCTCATTGTCTGATACAGATAACTCTTCGACTGATTCCTTGGCTGTAAGAGGAGCTTCTACCAGTCTCTGAACCATATTGTCTTCATCACGCAACACTGGCACTGCTGATCCGGAAACATCGGAGCCCCGCGGCGGTGCCTCCATGGTAATATACTCAATGTCCTCCATGGTTGTGCCCTCCTCTTCCTGTTCCCTATTGTCCAACACTAGTGACTCGTGGCCCAATTCTCGGGAAAGAAATTTACCTTCAGCCATCTTATCCTCTACGTCGGTCGACGACGGTACCGGCTCTTCGGAGAATCGAGGTTCCCGTGACAGCGGCAACGACACAAAGCTCTCGTTGTCCTCCATGATGGCGTCGTTCTCTGTGTCGCACCAGTGGTCGAATACAGGGGCCTCGCCGCTGGGCGCGTCAGATGTATCCAAGAATCCATCGTCTTCGAGGTCGCAGGCGTGGTACGGCTGGGTGCGAGGCGCCGGCAGGAGTGCGCCCATAAGACGGTCGGTGGCGGCGAGGCTGGCCAGGTAGGCGGCGAAGGGTAGGGATAGCGCGACGCCGGCGAGGGACAGGACAAGCAGTGGCGGGGCCACGACGGGCGCGGCCGTGGCCGCGATGGCGGCCTTCCGGGACAGGTCCCATCCCCGGCGGAGCAGCGCGCGCGCCCAGCTGTCGTCACTGCCACCGTCACAGCCCCCGTCTGCGGATGTGGCACTGCCGCCGAGGTCGTCGTGCTGGTGCTGTACCCCGGCGTCGGCGACCTAGTCAGGATCCATACCCGTGGGGGTTGGCTTTGGATGCGGCACTGCGGCAGGGTTGGGCAGGCCGGCAGGGTGGTGGGCGGTGGGCGGCGGCTACTGAGAAAGTGAAGAAGGCTGTGTCGAGAGAGGCGGCACGGTGAGCAGAGGCCGCGTGTGCATGAGGCGGCTGCATCGGCGGGCAGGTGTGAGACGACCACGAGGTTGGCTGACACGTGCTCAAGCAGTCAAGCTAGTCCAAAACAAGTGTTCAAAAAAAAAAAACCTAGTCCAAAACACATCGCGAAGAACGCCGGTCCTCTTTTTTCCTTTTTTTTTTTTTTGTGCGAGGGCCAAATGATGCATTGGCAGCCACTTCTTACACCGGAATGACGAAGATGTTTTTATTTGGCATAATAGCCATTTTGCTCCATCAACTGTTACTTACGCTCTATTTCATCCTTAAACTTTTAAAATAGCTATTTAGGTTCTCGAACTTTAGTTTAGGATCAATTTCATCCTACCACTACGGAGATAATCGTTTAATCCTCAAACTTTGTATTTTGGGATCAATTTTATCCATAAACTATCAAAGTGCATTTAACTTTTATTTTCAACTCAATTTTGTCTATTCAAAAAGAGAACCTTATATTTTAGGCATAATTTCATCCATAAATTATCAAAATTATAGATCTGCTATTGTTTCAATATATCTATGTATTCTTAATGAATAAATAGTGTTCGATGCAACTATAATTGCTCCCGTAATATCATTTAGTCGGATATATATAAATGGTACCATTATAAGGTAACACTGAAAATAACAGCTTAGAATTATTAATGACCACCAAAGAGTTTTTTGGATGAATATTATTTTTCTATCTCCAATCGTTGATGGTGTTCAAGCTAACCAGGTACAACAGTACAGCGTTTCACGTAGAACGTACACAACGTTGTGTTGAAAATAAAAGTTTAAAGAACAAAATATACTTTGATAGTTTATAAATGAAATCAAGCCCAAAACGCAAAGTTCGAGGACTAAAACGATCATCTTCATAGTTTAGGATGAAATTGAGACTAAAAGTAGAGTTTGAGGACTAAAACGGCCGTTTTGAAAGTTCAGTGACGAAACTGAGCCTCGAGAAATAGTTGAGGCACCAAAATGATTATTCTGCCTTTTTATTTTGTATTCATTTTATAATACTAACAATACAATTATCGTAGATTGTGTTTTGTGCCCTGCTGTGCGGAGTGCTGACGTTCCTCAACTCTAATACATAAATGCAATATTAGAATTTTTTTAAATGTGCCGATTTCACCGGTGGAAACATGAAAACCCGATTTTTTTTTTGGAAAATAAGTCAAACTATAGACTTCCATAAGTTGAAATGCAAACTTGATAAAAATATTTATCCATATTTACATTTAAAGAGCCAAAATTTATATCATTTTTTTCATCAGCTCTTTACTAACTAATTGTGAATTATATTCGTGATTGTGGAAATAGCCCTTTCTCACATCCACACACCTCTTGTTTGATGTGAAATATGCAAGGCTTTTTAAGTAACTTTGAATAGGAATGCCCTATCAAAAAAAACTTTGAATAGAAATGCTAGTCTAAATAGAAAAACAATATATCGTGGTAGAAATTTAAAAAGGTGGTACGTTTCATCATCAGCAAACGAGCAGCTGTGATTTGTGAATGACCTCCGTGAAAAGATGGTTGCAAAGCTCTCCTTTAAACTTTTAAATTGCTCTAAAGAACTCAAATTCACCGTGTACTTGATTGAATTTTGACCATTAAGTTTGAAGACCTCTTGAAGATCTGTATCTCTATTACTCCGAGCCAATATTATCACTATAGATGGATCACGGTGATAGGTAAACACACTACTCTTTTTATCATTTTTTAGCCTATAGAATTATTAAAAAAATCTGTAGCAAAGCAGGGTATTACTGATTATTCTAATTTTAAAGTACGTAGCACTTTTGTCCTACTTCGCTATTTTTCATGTTTATACAAGTTAGAGAAGTATGACTAGGCATTGTGCAAAATTCAATTCTAAGATAAATTGGAAGACATGACATAATAATTGGACAAATTTCAAGCCTCTCATGCCATACGGGTTTGAGTAGTGTGTGCACACGTAGTAGAGTAGTGCGGAGTTTACTCCAAGACGAGCAGAAAGCCAAGAACGCAAGACAAGCAAAATTGTTTGCTTGGCTGTGGTTTGTTTGTAAGAACGATCGTAAATTTTCGGTTGTAACAATATTTTTCTCTCACACGCACAAACCAACAAAGATTTCTTCATTTAACCAAAGAACGATCTGAACCAACCCAATCTAATGCAGCCGCAAGATTGTTAAAGTCTCGGAGCCACAAGTTATTTAGGTGACCACATAATACATTCTACGACACTGCAACATATGGATATGTTTAATAGTTTTAATAAAGAGAGAAAGAGGTTAGGCGTGTCGTTTCAAAATACACCAGGCCCAAGGGTTGTAACAGAAATTAGTCGTCTAGCACAGCAGTTCTGATAAAAGCATCCGTGGCATTGCCCATTGGGAACAAACCTGAACGTCAAGGGCAAATGAAAGACTTTCCAGGCATGTAGCCATGTAGGGCATAATTGTACAGCAGAGGAGAAAACTGAAGGGTTAAAGGGAAAAATGCTAGGGGTAAACCTGCAGAAGGATGTGTACACCTATCAGCGAACGAAAGGTTCTGGCATGTAGCTCTCAGAAATCCGCGAGGGCTAAATCATGAAGAAAAACCAGCGCGGAAGGACCAAAGTGAGAACTCCGAACAGCAGGGACCAGGGCGCAAAAGGACGCGAGGGCTGAATCGTGTAGAAAAACTAGTGCGGGAGGACCAAAGTGAGAACTCTGAGGGCATATCTGCGAGGAAAATCCAAACACCGGGGACCAGTATATCGTTCCAATTTTATAAGAAGAGATCATGTAATGCCTGCGCCTCAGCTTGACTAGCCGAGGTGGGACAAAACGTTTGCCTGTTGCCCAGCGCGTTGCTCCACCGACGGACTGCTGTTTGGGCTTCGTCGCGGTGCTTCGTATTGGGCCATGGGCCATGTTTCTCCGTGGCCTTTCTGTGAGGAAGGTTTGACACGTACCGACATACGCCACTAAACTTGCGAATATACACCGACACACCGTCAACACCCTGACACTATCTCCTACCGTACGTAGAAGGAAAACAAGTTGCAGAAATAAATAAATAAATAATAAAAAAGTTGTACAAATCCTGGCAAACTCCTGCGGACACCATTATTTCTAAACACGACTAATTATTACTACTAGTAAAAAAATTAAAGTTTTACAAGGAATGGCCTGGCCTGGAAATCATAACTGACAACCATGTTCAGTGAGAACCTAGTAATAGAAAAAACACAAATCAAAATTCCCAAATTCCTATCCATTCGCGGTGAAGCGGGCACACATTGAGATATTCTGACATTGGCTCTCTACGATACAACACATATATACACTGGCGCTTCACATCGGATGCCATTATTTGCTGTCTATGCAAGTCTGCAACACAGTTGTAGTAACTAGTGTTTCCCGTCCCCTGACATTCCATCACTTAAATGTACACTGCAGCTATTTAGCTTTAAAATTTGGCTAGAAATCAAAACAAACAAAAACATGCCATGAACACTAAATAAAAACTGTGTAATTCAAGAGATAGATGCCAACGGCATAAAACATGAGCAGCAACCATTTGTGAAGTGAAAGTGTTAAGATACCCAAAGCTTGTACAACGCATGCAGCTGGCCCAGAGTAGAAGATTTGAGCGACAAACGATACATCTCTTTCAGCTTAGCAGCTTCTGTTCTGTTGCTAGTGCTGGCCTGGCTGACAGAAGAAGCTACTCTGCCTGTGCTGCTAGGCAGGGATCCCGCCAGCATCCTCTTCAGCAGGCTCTGCAGCTGGCTCCAGAACTTTGGTTTTATGTCCAGGTCCATATCGTTGTAGTAGTCTTCATTTGCTTCCACCACATGCCGGCCTTCCAACAAGTGAGTCAGAGCAGTGTCAAGCATCTGCAAGGATGAGACAAATTATTTATTGAACAAATTCAAAAGGAACATTTTCTTCCATGTTACACATCAGACGGACATGACCAAGGTGCAAATAAAAGGTGAACTTTTAGAAGAGAAAACCCGGCTGGGTAATTATGAATTTATGATGAACCTATGTTGCTAGATGCTAGCCCATTTGCACTGACCATTGAGGTTTGTATGCTGCCAAAAAAATGGGAAAAAAAGACCTTCCAGAGTTTGCCCTCTATGAAAATGTTACTCCTTGGAAGAAAGAAAATGTAGCCACTTAACAAAATTACTATTGCATCAAATATAAAACTTAAGTCAGGTATTATTCTTCGAAGTATACAGCACCCCCTCTGCACAATAAAACATAGGGTTAACCAACATACTGACCAACAAGGCCTTTGAGTAGGTATGCCCTTTTTCAAAATTCCATAAGAATAGTGACTGGACTTCATTCTAGCACACTGAAAAGCTGGAGATGGAAAAGGTAGCAAGGCCTGAGAAAAAAAAACATACCACGGTTGAGTGGAAGGAATTAGAAATATTAATAGAAAGGGCAGACTGTGCCATAAGGATGTTAAGAAACATAGTAGGATGTGTCTTCGGCCCATAAAATTCTAAAGCCTTCTGCCAGTTCTTCTCAGCTAGTGAACCATACCACTTACTTTTCTGACGATATTTATCCTCATTTTTCTGTTTAACCTCCTTGTCGACTAAATCCAGAAACCTTAAGCACAGATCCCTCTGATAACAAGCGAGCTGAAAATGACCAAAAGCAGCTTCCTGTTTGCGATGTTCACCAAGGGATTCATATGTAGACAAAGCCTCCCGAAAAGCATCACTAGCTGAAATCTCTAGAACTGTTCTGTTAGATGACTCATCGACAAGTCCACCTTCATAACTGTCAGTTAAGAAGCTTTCCCTTGCCAAAAGCATTCCAAGCCTCAGGTAGGTATGAGCATACTGTGTGTAAACCTCATGGTATAGTACTTTATCGACCTCAGTATTGACATACTTCAGTTGGGTCTTAGCTGCGGAATAGTAGTTTATTGCTTGAAAATATTCTGACTTCGCTGATTTGAAGGATTGCATATATGTGCCTTCAGGAAGATCATGCTTCTGAAATTCATCAATCCTGGATACACATTCCTCTGCTAAAGCTCTCCTACCATGACCTAAGTTACAGTTGATCAGTATAACATTTGTGTTGTCAAAGACCTCTTGAAATGCTTTAATAGCATCTGCAAAAGCAATCTCAGCGCTACCCAGATTTCTACTCTCAAGTCTACAGCGGCCCAGTTCATTAAATGCCCAGCCTCTTTTCTTAAGAACCGTGGAAGTTTCTACTGAATGCACAGGAAATGTGAACAGTGCTCCCTTGGATGCACCATAGCAGTGAATAGCAGAAGACAAGTTGTACTCAAAATCTCCTGGTTTTGGACCACCAAGGAACTTGAAGATACCACCATCCCTCACAGTAGGAACACTTGCTTGAGATTTATCAGGAACTCCATCAACATTTCTTGACTGTTTTTCCCTGTCCTGACTGTAATGACCAATATCATCATTTAATACTAGGTTGTTCTCAATACAAGTATCATTCACATCATGCTGTTTTTTCTCAGAAACTTGTGTAGCTTCTTGTGCATTGGGGTTCTTGCTGGTTTCTCTATATTGTGATTGAAGGTTCTTGCCAAGTGATTTTTTATTTTTCTTTCGGCCATAAAGTTTAGAGGCCTCAGAACTACTGCTGCTTGCACTGCTGCCACTACTTGCCCTGTCACTTTGGCAGCTACAGTTTATCAACGAGCATGTGTCACAATTCTGCTTATCCTTTCCCAGTTTTCGCTTAAGGCGTTTGACCTCCAATGCAACTTCATTTGACATTCTAACTTCGCCATGAGACTTCTGTACTGGTACCAACTTTGCTTGATGACCATTCAATCTGTGATATTCTGCATAGACATCACCAACAAGCATCCATGCCTTTGCCCAGAACAAATAATTTGGTGGCAGTTGGTGGGAAGAAACATCATAACTGAAGCATCTTTTGTTATTGCAATAATCTGCCTCATCCAGTACAAGTTTAGTTTTTAGACCAACATCTTCTCGACTCAACGAACTATTGGGCATGGATGAGATGAACTCGTCGCCATCAATATGTCCAGGCATAGACCCATATACCAAACAAGCTAATTCAACAACTTTAAGGGTGCGCTGAAGCTGCCCATCATTCTTGTATGCCTCTCCAAGTGCCAAATAAGATTCCCCTAGCAAAAGAACAAGTTTCCACAACTTATGATCCATTTTTGATTTTGGAAGCCACTCCCTGATGTCACAGACCTCAATACAATCAACATCACCACATCGGCATAAAGAGAAGTCGACTGACCTCTCCCAAATGGTATCTGCATTGTCCACGCAACCATGCTGAGTACTATTCTGCAGCTGTCGATTCCATCTAAGGGATTTGATAGCTTGAGATATGTGGTGTATAGCAGCCAACTTAGAGGAGATTGCATCAGCAATTGTTTTTGAAATACCAGACTGACACATCACCAAGCTGTCCAGAGAAACATCATCTTTTGTAACTGAAGATGAAGAACCACCATCAGCTTGGCTTGGTTCTTCTAAACTATTTGTCATACCAGAAGAGATTGATGGTGTGCAGTCCAACACATCATCTAACACTGCTGGCTCATTCTTGCCAAGCTCTGGCAGCACATTTTGTTTTCCTGGTAAATTCTCAAGTCTCAGTTCTGGAGAATCATCATCCAAATCAGTAAGGGTGACTTCAGACTCAATCATAAATGATTCAGATGTCAGTTCCAGCTCCTCATAGCATTTGAGGATGAGTCTTGCAAATTGTTCATGAGCACATGCCCGGACAACCTAGAAGATAAAAACAAAAACAAATATTAGCACAAATTTACTGATGCACTAATACAGTTAAATGATTACATAATGATAAGATGAATAAAATACCAGGTGATCCTGCTCACTGAGAAAATCCAAACATTTTCTGAAGAATTTTGCACATTTTGCTCTATTACTAGGCACCTGCAAAGCATATATAATATTAACATCCAACGAAAAAGTATGAAAGCAAAACGCGAAAGAGAGAACAATGACTCCTTTCTTCCCTTGTCTATTACTAGGCACCTGCAAAGCATATATAATACCCCAGTACCTTTGACAAGGACATCCTGTGAGCAACCCGATAAAGGAGTGTACCCAGAGAGAACAATGACTCCTTTCTTCCCTTGTCTATAAAAGATGACATAGGACCGCATGGAGATCTAAGATCACCAGCTGTATGTTTTTCAGGTAAGATAGACAGATCATATAACTGTATGACATCTTCTTCAGCGCCTTTGTACAGCTGAAAAAGCAAAGGTTCAATATGATTAATGAAAACACGGGAGGTCATCATCATTGGGAAAAAGGTGAGATATTTAGGCAATATGATAAGGGACTAAAGGCTTAATATAACATCTTGACAGTAGTTACCACATCTAGTAAACAAGGGTAAAAAAGATGGCATTCAATGGCATACCCAATATGCACCAGGGTCTTGCTTACAGTTATCCTGAATGAACCTCAGGACAGCAAGGCCATTTTGCTGGACAACCTGTGGATGAAACGCAGGTGTGCCATCATCTGAGACACCCTTAAGGAGAAATATATCATCATTCTTTAAAAGCTCATAACCTTGAACAACACCATTCTTATGGTAACATATGGCCAATTCTGGAACACTTGCCATTACATTGTCAAGCCAAGCTTCAAGCCAGTTCAATGGAGTAACCTATAAAAACACAATTTGTCAATAGGGGTAAAAAAAGAAAGTATGTAACCATATTCAACAGCAATGAAAGCATACCTGTCTAGAAACATCCCATAGGTGCAAACTGACTGCAGTATATTTCTCATTGCTAAATATAAGCAAGTCACTACCCAAAAGCATATGGAAATTGTGGAATTGCCAAAAGCAAACTTTCCGAAATCCATTATTTCCCACTCTCTTGCTCTCCTCAGATTCTTGCACCTCACAGCTGGCTTTTTCACCAACCCGAGTGGTTTTTTTTATAGGATCAGATCCTTTGACTTTTCGATTGTTTTCCATTGCTCCCAAGTACAGGCTTTCATGAGTACTATGTGGAGCTTTTCTACCTTTACTGTCATTCTGATTCAGATACGGTGATGTGCTAAAACTAGATGATGGGGATGAATCAAAAGAACCCTCGCCACAGTCAAAGGATCCACGCAAGACTGCGGATGCTGTTTGCTTCTCCTGTGAAGATTGATGACTTGGGGGACAATCACAAGCTTCTGCTCGCACAGAGTGCATTGCGAAATTCAGAAATATTGATGGATCAGATCCTTTAGGCGGGTTACCTTGTCTTCTGAATATCTTTTCACCTTCATCAACATCAGGCCTGCAACACGATTAAACATTCATGTGTATTAACTATAGTCAGCATGATGATGATGATGATGATGCAACCAGCAACATACCCTGTGTTTAGAATGAGTGTATCTCCTATACGGTTTACAGCAATAGATACTTGTGCCTTTGAGTATGGAATTTTGAAAATCTGCTTCATGATATCGGCTGGGGCAACCACATCTATTTCATCACCATATTCCGCCAAACCTGACACAGCTAGTGCTTCGCATTTCCTTGATAAGTTCTGGTTGATATGACCACTGTCATACCGTAATCCTGAAGAGTATGAACAGAGTCATAAAGGTGAGAATAAAAAATGAACTGTCACACACAACACCTATAATAATTTATCAGTGCTGAACAGCTCGCAGAGAAAGTTGGTTACAAGCCAGTATTCCTTTTATGCTGATCAGATTGTAATTATAAAGGATCGATAGAGATCACCTTCAGTACTCTTTGCATCACTTGAAAAAACCTTCTCTGGGATGTTTGGAATCATAGGGAGTGTGTTCAGATCAGTCTCTAATGGCAGCATTTGATACCTTGGAGCACCAGTCCTACATGGTTTGTTGCAGCAAGAGCAGAATTAAACAGCAATTCTCCTGAAGAGGCATTTGCATGCATTATTGAGTTCAAGCTACAGGAATAGGGTCGTAAGAACTAAGTGCCATTTTATATTTTTATCTTTCAATATAATTGCAAGCACATGCTTGTTATTCATTGCAGTATGGGAGATAAAACCAAAAGAGGGTAAACAGTATCCAGTATCCACCAGCATCCCACCACCAGAATATGTGTTCATTTCTTTTCATTTTACATGAATACAGCCACTGAATTCTGGTAGGTTGCATCCATCAATCAGACCAATTGTAGCTAATAGTAGCACATGATTTCTGTTGGCGTAGATCACCAGATCACAGGTAATTCGGCACAAGTAGAACTGGGGCTGCCAGAGGGCAGCTTGGCCAACAGGCCGCTTGGATTGTATTGAATTGCAATAACAACTTAGATACAAAAAGATGCTAACCACCGCATATATAAGCAAGTGGTGTACCTACTCCTTAGCATATTCTAACTGCATAAAGCAGATGCTATGATTCCTACTTGGTTGCCAAGGCACCATGATCAACTTGGTTGCCAAGGAACCTGAAAAATTACATGACAGTGAGTAGTAAATAGCTATAGTAGGTAACTGGAAAACATGAACACTAGGCTAACTACTGACAATTTCTATTCATTTCACCATAACAGTTCCACCACCATTTCCTATGATAACAATTTACAAATCCAATAAGCAATTGGCAGTCTATCCGAAGAACTTAACTGAAGCCTACTATCCCCAGGGTCTTCCCTACCAAATAACAAACACAATTAGTTCTAATTGCACAACGTAGAGGGTGCTCATTCCCATGGTACTCCATCTCAAATTCCCAGCCTCAACCCTTAACAAAAACCCTATAATTGCATCGAGACGCTTTAAACCCTAGAAGCATCAGCCCCTCCTGATTCAGAATAGGACAAACAGTAGCCAGAGGGCTTAAAGACGCGCGCGTGAGCATGCACGATGAGGCGAGAGTGGGGGAAGAGGGGCTTACGGGGACGGAGAGGGCAGGAGAGCTGGGAGAGAGGCAGAGGAGTCGGTGGGGACGGGGAGGGAGCCGACGCGAAGGTAGCGCGCCGGCGGCGGCGCGGCGATCTCGAGCCGGCCCACGCACTGCAGCTCTCCCGGCGCGTCCATAGCTGGCCGTGGTCTTGCGGTTCGCCGGCGGCGGCTTCTGGCGCTCTAGCACTTCGATCACCGGAGCTTTTTCTCGCTGTTTTGCTTGGCTCTGGTTTGCTTGGGAGGTCCGTTTGCTTGGCGGTTTGATGGGTTCGAGAAGACTCGCGGTCTCGGAGGCAGCGGGCCAGCACCCAGCAGGCAGCTGCTGGACCTGCTCCCTCCCGTCCCAGAATACATGTCGCTTTCACTTCCCAGAAAAACTTTAACAAAATATATATTAAAAAATATTAATATTTATAATATATAATTTATACCATTAAAAAGATCTTTAAATCTAGTTTTTTTAAACCAAAAGACCTGTAGCTTTTATTTTTGAAACTGACCTATGCTATAGCTTTGTCTTTCAATTCCAGTAATAAGATATCCGTTTTAAAAATATGAGCAAGATCCGGGAGGGAGAGGGCGTGAAGGGCGAGATGTGGCGGTGGAGCGAGCGAAGGCGGTGATGAGGCTGTGGGGCGACGGGCTGCCGCCGTTCGCGCCAAGCACTTTGAGGGTTGCAAGCCTCCGCGAGGGAGAGGGTGTGGAGGAGGTGGTGCGGCGATGGGGCAAGCGGAGCAGGTGAGGCGGATGTGGAGCGAGCGAACGGAGGCGAACCTGGGGCTGAGGACCGAGAGAAGCTTCTGGAGGCAGGAAGACAGTGGCCACATTTGCTGTGTTTGGAAGTTTGGAAAAGGAACGGACGGCTGTGATGCAATTGCTGGACGGCTTGGATGAGAAAACTGTAGAAGAACAGTGCAACAACGAAACTCTTGGCTCAGAAACAAAGGATCTTATATAAAATATGATATGTAAGGATGCCACCGTGCGTTGCTACGAGGCTTTCGTTGATATAAATTTATTGCATGTATGAATTAGATCCATATGTTCTTGGCATCGTTTTTTTATCAAAATAAGAGAATTCCCCGCGTGCTACATATATTTTCGGAGTAAAAGTTAAGTATCACAATACTGTGGTTTATGTATGTGGCATTTGTATACAACAATCATTGGATATGTCAAAGCAACATACTATTGATTTTGATACTCTCAAAACTACATTTTGATTTCGATACAAAGTTAGTAGTGTAGACATGAGCCCATGAAGTATAATTGGAAACTTAGGGTGTGTTTGGATTGCTACCCCAACTTGCCATGGAAGCTTAGTCTAATGTTTGGATTGCAACCCAAACTCGCCCAACTTTTGGCTTGTCACAGTTTTTCCTTCTGACTTCTGCAAAATCTTACACCAAATGTTTGGCGGGATGGATTGCTCGCCAGAGATTTGGCGTGCCGCACCTTGGGTTTGGCAACCTAAGGACGCAAGCCAAACATGCCCTTAGACTTCTGATAAAACGCAAACTGCAGACTTTTGAAATAGTTAAAATTTATCAATAACAATTAATTTTACATCCAGGTGAGCTCGAAGGAGGGTCTACCGGTAAAACACAAAGGAAGAAATAAAAACTTAAAAATTATCTAACAATCGGGTGATCGGATGAAAAGAACGTCTTAGTGCATGCCACTACAGTAAAAAGTTATCAGAGAAAATTCCGTGTGTGCCATTAAATGATTCAACACTGAAAAACCTGTTATAACATGAGTGCTATGGAGAGAAAAAATTGGTTCTATAGATGCCACTATCGTCAACACCGTTAGTATAAGCGCTCCCTCTGGTATCGGTCCTCCCCATCGTAACCGGCAGCAACGGCTGGTTCCTGAGCGGCGGCGCCCGCAGCTCGTGGGGTGAGAGCGCAGGGGGATACAAGGCGTCGAGCGCGTAGCTCCAGGTCGGCAGTACGTGGCTGCCGCGGCACGCGGGTCCAGGCCGCAGAAGACACGCGCCACAACCGCCGATGGAGCAGGAGCCCGCACCCGAGAGCGCCTGGGACATCGAAGTCACCACCGAGCTGGAAGGCGTGGACACACAGAATGTGAATTTTGTTGCACATCCTTATGAAGGAAGGGCATAAACGTCCTTTTATGCACGAGATAACTACTGTCTCAGCACCTGTAGGCGGCATTGGCACTCAGAGAACGTAAAAATAAATTCGATGGCACTCATGTCCAAACCAATTTTTCAGTGGTCTGTATGGAATTGTTGAACCATTCAATGACACACACGGAATTTTCTCTTAATGTATTGATCTCTATCCATATTATCAACATCAATGTTCTGACTTTGACTCAGCCAAAATACTCAGCAGCACATGAGGAATAGGCTTATATGGCACAATGGCTTTGGAAGTTGAAGGCTGGGCTCCAGAAAAACTTAATCTTCTTGCAATCCTCGTGCCACCGGTCTCACCAAGTGATGAGCCTTCGCAAAAGGTAGACTTATTGAGCACAGTTGGCTCAAAAGCAGAGTCCCAGGATCTCGAGACCCTTTGGCAGAGGAAGCTCATGCACATAAGGTGGTTTCAATGCAGAGATCATAGGTAAAATCATCCTGCAGAGATTAGCAAACATCACATGCTCTTGAGGAATTTGCTCTGATTCTCCGTGCAGCTTGCCCTTCTCACACGCTGCCTTAGCTTCCTCAACCAAGAATCCCAACAATGTTTTCTTCTCAGCCCTAACTTGATGAGCAGAGGAAATTTTCTCATAGGTTCTCATGCAGTGGACCATAGACACAAGATCTTTATATTTAGGTGCCTCTTCTTTCAACTTTAATAGCTCATCTTCTGAAAGCACCTGAATGGAACACGAGCTTCCATTGAATGAAATGCACAGTGAGCAGCTGAGAACACATACAAAATAGTTAGTGTGATTTACCTCATGAAAATCGTCTTCTTCTTCAGGGCAACATACCACCTTCAGAGTTGTTGCAAGCTTCAGCGCACCCCAATGCTCACAATTAATGTCAGGTACCTTCTTAAAGCGCACACTAGCATTGGCCAGGTATTCAAAATGCTTCTTGTAAACAGTGTCACAATCAAACAAGGCACGTGCCGTTGCAACAATTTGCTCATTGAGCTGAAATACAAAGAGCGATGCTTCAAAACTAAGTGAAAATTGTAAAGGCAAGTTTTTCTATGAAAACTTAAATCCCAAACTTTGGTCCGTCAAAAATAAAGGATTATAAGTGCACAGCACATAAGCTATCGTATAATGTAACACTAAATGGCAGGGAGCTATAAAGCAGAAAGCATGGCAACTCCAACCATTGAACTCACCATCTCTGGTTCGACATAAAATCCATAAATGACTCAGGAACATTTTTAGTCCTTGGCTCATTGGGAAGCGGTCATCTTTAGCCACCTGTGCTTTTTCTTTATGCACTAACTTGTGCATTAGATGCTGTATGCCCCACATTACCTCCATCACAATTGCATTGTGCGTGCAGGGTATTCCCTGAAAGAAGTCACAGCAACAATGACCCTCAAAGTTGTTCAAAAAATATAACCAGACAAGGAGCAAAATACTCACCAACTTTGATTCAATGATTGCTTTATATTCAGGCTTTCCAACAGCCAATTTCATCCCTGGGAGGCGCCACTTGTAGATCATATCAGCAAGCCGTTTGTTAATACCAGTATCAGCATTTATGGCGCTGGATTTGTCCTCAAAAGTTTCAAATTCCATTGGCGTAGCGACCTGATATGGAAATAAGGATGAGCATGTTCATGGGCACAAAGAAACAATTATCATGCATGTGTTTGGAACAGGAGAAGAGGATGGAGAAGAGGTTTCAGTAGGTATATCTAAAACCATAAAATGTATATCCTTGTCATGTCGTCGTTTATCAAATACTTCCAGTGTAATTCCTAATATGTTCACAAGTTCATGTTATTCAGAAAGTAGCACCACGTCAAGGCCCCTATCAGCCCTACCTAGCAAGCAGTTACTAGTTAGAAAATTTGTGCATAGCAATACAAACAAAAGTTTCAGCGTGCACCAATTGATTCTTTAGATATATCCTTGCACCTATGGTGACCTTTCAGCAAAAGTAGCATCATGCTACATGCTTTACAAACAGATGTATGGGAGAACAATGAGCTTGTGTTCCTTTCGCTAAATGCAAAGAGCTACTTAATTAATTTGATGCAAGCAAGTAAGGAGATAACAATCAGATGGGAAAGCAAGGAATGAAGGAGGCACTAACACAAGATGCTCGGTGAGGATCAGCAAACTTTGTCCAGATGTCCTGTACGAGGCAAATAATAAAACGGAGAAATTGGGTCGATTGCATAGACCAAAGGAACAAGAAGCACATCATTGAAGGTCAACCAAGCAAGGAGGAACAACGTACCTTCAAAGTATTAGGTAGGTGAAAGTAAACCTCAGAAAAAAGTGAAAAGTGCAAAACCAGAGGGCGTCTCAAACAGCAGCAACATAAGCCCATAATTCTTCAATTTTTTAGCTGCAAACAAGATGCCAAACAAACTTAAGCAAGCAGGATTGCCAATAAAAAAAAACGCACATAAATGAATCGCATGTTCATGTATCAAGAGTGAAGCCAGCCAGCCCTGGGCATGGAGCTACCCTCGCCTCCGCCTTCAGTCAAATCACAGCAATGCTCGTCGGCGCTGTCACCACCCCTGCCCTACCTTGAATAGCTTACTGACGTTTTCACTTCCGACGTGGGTGAGATTGAGAGAGGAGGATGACGGCGGGCGGCTAGCTCACCTATAGTCGTCCAACGGGGCGGCCCGCCGACATCCTCCTGACGATTCCGACGCTCGCGTCGTCGCCCCAACGCCGGAGGAGGATGCGAGAGGAGATCGAGATTTTTGCTTGTGGTTGCGAGTGGGGGACGGCGGGCGCTGCAGCGCGAGAGCGGCGGGCTCGGAGCGGAGATGCGTTTCGTACCGCCGACTAGCAAAGTTAAGTCGCGGTTTCTCTGCACCCGGAGTCCCGGTGGCTAGCTCTCAAAATCAAGAAGGCGGGGGTTATATTTCATTATTTCGGGTCGGTGCCCTACATCCATTTCAAGTATGTTTAAGCTAGTTTATGTTTAAGCTAGTTTATTTAAAGCAAAGCCTTTGAGTTCCATCGTTTTTTCTGTTTGGAAGTTTTTGTCTGTGATTTTTAAAAGAGGTAAATGCATCGTAGGCCTTTGAACTTGTCTTAGGGTGTTATTTAGGTACACAAACTCTCAAATCGTACTTCTGGCACCCTAATGTTATTTAAGTATGCCACTTAGGTCCATAATTCATCGGAACAACGTTTTGGCCGACGTGACGTGGACATCGTGGCGCTGACTGTGTCTAAGCGCACGTGAGCCGCGCGTGAGCCTGATTTGGGGTGTGAGCCTGGTTTTCAACTGGCCGGAACAGGGTGGCCGGTGCTCGGCGAGCGGACGACAACTCCGGCAAGGTCGGTGAGAGGCCAAAAGGCCACGGATCGACGCCAAGATGTATATGAGAGGCTGAGGCGTGTCCTAGAGAGGCCAACGGAGGTGAAAGCATCTAGGCCCCTAGTTTGGTTTCGGTGATTAATGACAATACAAGATTATTATGACTAACGTGTGTTTTGCAGAGGCAATTAAGTTAGGTCATGGTAATGGAGATCGATTGGGCAATCATGGTGGTCATGTCCCTACGATAGAAATCGTTTCGGTTTTCAAAGGATGGACGACAAGGTTAATAATGGACTAGTTCTAAGTGTCGATTGGAGTTGGAGAGACACTTATAGTAGTTTAGGACTTTGTTTTTTCTTTGGCCGTACTATTAAGGGGGGTATGGACGGGTAGCTTGACCTAGATGAGTCAAGTGAGTTAGGTGTGGTGCACACTTGTTAAAACTAACACTAGGTAGCTCCAAAACAACCTTTAGATCCAATGGAGCAAACTTCATTCACATATGATCGAGAGTTGGAAGTGAATGGAGGGTCAAATACTGACCGGACGCTAGTTCCGGTTTGACCGGACGCTGGCGCAGAGTCCGATCAGTTCATTTGACCACGGTGATTGCGTCTGGTTTGACCGGACGCTGAGAGGTGAAGTGACCGGACGCTGAGAGCCTGCGTCCGGTCGACTCCAGTAAGGTTCCAGAGAGGAAAAAGTGCGACCGGACGCGTCCGGTCAGTGTTGATCGAACGCTGCCCAGCGTCCGGTCACACTGTAAACACTAGAGTTCGGGGTGTACTGACCGGAGCGTCCGGTCAACATGACCGAAGCGTCGGGTCACCCCGCAGAGGAACATAACGGTTCGTTTTTTAGCCCATATTATAAATACTCCATCCACTCGTGTGTGGAGGTACTTTTGCTCATTCCAACAGCTGAGAAACACGTTTGAGAGTGCCAAGAAGAGCAAGGTCCTAGTGAGGTGATTGAGATTTGAGAATTCCAAAGAGAGCCCTCATTAGTGAGATCAAGAGTAGCAAAGTGTATATCCACCCATCTCATTAGGCTTGTCGTGGTCAAGTGAGAGTTCGTGCTTGTTGCTCTTGGTGATCGCCATCACCTAGATGGCTTGGTGGTGATTGGGAGCTTGGTGATCATCTGGAGAGCTTATGGATGACCCAACTCAAGTTGTGAGCAGTTGTTGGTGATTCACCGCGACGGAGTGTCGAAGAATCAACCTGTAGAGAGCATTTGATCCTTGCGCGGATCAAGGGAGAGCTACACCCTTGCGCGGGTGCTCCAACGAGAATTAGTGGGGAGTGGCGACTCTTCGATACCTCGACAAAACATCGCCGCGTTTCCTCTCCTCTCTATTTACTTTGAGCATTTACTTTGAGCAATTTAATTCTTGTTCTTACATTCATAGAATTATCATGCTAGAGTAGGATTAGAACTTAGGTTGCAAGTCTTTTGTGTGTTAGTTCAATAGAAATACTTTCTAGGCACAAGGGATTAATTGGGCTAACCGTAGGACTTAATTATTGCAAAGAAATTTAGAATTAGATCAATTCACCCTCCCTCTTGGGCATCTTGATCCTTTTAATTGGCATCAGAGCCTCGTGCCCACATATTTAGGCTTAACCGCCTAGTGAAAAATGTCTCACGGGAATGTACCTCCTTCTATCTTTGAGGGGGACGATTTTCCTTATTGGAAAATTCGTATGGAGGCGTACTTAGAAGCTCTATATGTTGGAATATTTAGAGCCGTCTCGTAAGGCTTCCCAAAACCTAAGGATCCCACACACCCACAAGGCGATGAGGTGAATTATGAAAAATGAAATGCAAAGGCTCGCAACACCATCTTTAGAGGCCTTTGCAAAGATGTGTTCAATCAGGTGAGAAACCACAAAGACGTCAATGCACTATGGTCGGACGTTTGTGCGCTCCATGAGGGAACAAAGAATGAGCGTGGAGAACGCTATCATCTTATCATGAAAAAGCTCAACTCTTTTGAAATGCTTCCTAAAGAATGTGCTAATGAGATGTATTCACGTTTAAATGTTCTTGTAGAGAAAGTTAATGGGCTTAGACTCACTCAAATGCAACCATCCGATGTTGTAAGAAAGATTTTGAGTGTCCTCCCCATTGACAAATATGGGCATATTGTGACCGTGCTACATCAAGGTGATCTTTCCACCGCTATATCGACACAAATCTTGGGAAAGATCAATGCTCATGAGATGTACATGCACATCACACCTCAAGATGGCTCATTCTCTACAAAGAAGAAAGAAAAAGACTTAGCATTCAAAGCTAGCCAAAAGAAGGGCAAAGCAAGGCTTGAGTATGAGAGCTCAAGTGATGATGAAGTAGATGATGAAAGGCTTGCTCTCATGGTGAAGAAAACCGCCAAGATGCTAAAGAAGCTCAACAAAAGTGGCATAAAGTTTGATGGCAAAAAGAAGAAGTTCTTCACAAGCTATAGAAGGAAGCCAATCTCCAAGATGGATTGCTACATTTATGGAGAACTTGGTCATCTAGCTCATCAATATATAAAGCTCAAGAAAGACAAGTTCAAGAACAAGAACAAGGGCAAAAAAGATGACTCAAGCAATGAAGATGAAGATGGGAAGAAAAAGAACAAGCCATACAAGAAGAGAGATGGCAAGAAGGACCTTCACAACAAGAAGAGTGGAAAGACTTACATCGTTGGTGATTGGCTCACGGACATTGATTCATCTAGTGGATCATCCGATGATGATAGTGATGACGAGAAGGTGGCCACTATTGTTATTGATTCTTTATCATCTTCACCGCCACCACCGCCATCATCCTCTACACACCTATGTCTTATGGCCAAAGGTGAACGAAAGGTATCACATGATGATGATAGTAGTAGTGATGATCATGCTCATAATGATGGTAGTGATAGTAATAGCGATGATGATGAATATGAATCATCTTCTTATGATGATCTTGCTAAATTGCTAAAGAAATACACTAAGATCATTATAAAGACTAGAGCTAAAAATGAAAAGCTTGAGATTAAGAATGATTCTCTCTTAGCTAAATGTGACTTAGCCGAAAAGTCTAGTGTTGAGCTTAGAGAAGCAAATGAAGCTATGTCATCCAAACTCAAGGAGCTTAAATCTTCTAAGAAAGAGCTTAAAGATAAACATGATAAACTTAAGTGGGTGCACAAAGGGCTCACCACTAGCCACAACAGGCTAAAAGAAGAGTATACCACTCTTAAGATTAATCATGATAATCTTGTTATTTCTCAAGAATTTCTATCCAA